AAACCCTCCCAAAAAAAAAAAAAAAAAAAAAATTGAAGTTGCTGTGAAAAGTTGCAATAATATCTACAACAAAATAAAAAAAAAAGAAATTGAGTAATTTCCCCTAAGGAACAGGGTTTGAAATATAAGAATTATTTTAAGTGTTTTTTTTTTTCTGTTTACTGCCTAATTAGACACCTAGATTTTTCTGCAGTATATCAAAGATTCTAGTTAGTTCTAATTTTTGCAATAAAAAATCAACAGCTTCACTAGACCACATATTTTCAAGACCTTCAAATTTCTCGCTTTAAGAGTTGGATTTAAACAATTTCCTTTCTCCAAAGAAAGGAACAGCATACTCCTAATTCAGATTTTTAAAAGTGGTAAAACCAGACACGGTCTTTCTTTCTTTCTTCCCAGAGAGATGGCATAGGAGGCTGGGTTGTTTCTTTTATTTTTTAAACTCGGGGCACAATTACTTACGTGGAGTGAAATAAGGAGCCGTCCTTTTCTAAGTAGCCTTCGTAGTGGACCAACATCAAGTCCCCTCCTTTGGTCTTGCGATGGCAGATGAATGGCTTCTGCAGAACTTCGATTTTCACTTCTGGTTCAGGGATGAGAGCCCCACTCAAAGAAGTGACTAACAGCGTTAAGATCGTGTTCCTCAAAAAAAGCCTCATGTTGCTGGAGCAGGAAAGGATTCCCTACAAAAACAGAGAAAAGGCCCCCGCCTTCATAGAGTTAACGAATACTGTCGAAGGCTCAGGAATAAGGGCCTCTGGCAAGTTCAGGACTCCCCCTACTTAGAAGACGTGGCACAACTTCTACCAGCAACTTTCCCACACACTGCGAACTCACCTTCAAAGGGTTAAATCCATACTCGGGCCTGACTGGCTCATATATAGCGCCTGCCTGTGAACAGCGGCTTCCCATTGGCTGGCGGTGCTGTCCTTCGGGCGCTTCTCCAGCCAATGATGTTGCAACAATGTAATCCACTGCTTGGAGGAGCGTGGCAGCTGCCAGGCAACGAACCACTGGAGCGGTCCTAGAGTCCTGCGGATTCAAGAGCCCGCAAATCCTGACTTTTGGAAAGGAGTAGGGTGCGGAGCTAACAGGAAATCCCTCCGGCAAATTTAACCTCTGTAAAGAACCCCGGCTGAGCAAGGCATGAGGAAGTGCTTGGGGCCAGGTGAAACTGTAGGGGTTTCGGGTAAGGGGAAAGAAAGACTTGTTTACTCTCGCCGTTGGAAAGCGACCCGCAAAGCTCCGGCTATTGCTCATTAATTTACAGAATAAACTTGAGTTTCTACTACGCTTTAAGGGTTCGCGAAGTGCATTTTTGGTGCATGAACATCCAAGAAGGCAGGTTCTTTCCTTTCATTTAAAAGATGAGTAAATTTAGGCGAGGAGAGGTTAAGTGTCCAGTTTAAGGCCTTTTGGCACCAAAGCAGTGGAACTCCGCCTTCAAACCTCACATAATACTATTGGCTGGTAATAACGTATCAGTAAGTGACCTTAGGATAGATGGTAAATGGTAAGGGCATACAGACCTCCGCTTTAAAGAAGAAATGGTAATCGGGTTACGAATCACACGGCCTCATTTTAATTTAAATGTTCTAGTTGGTCATTTTCTGCCTAATTCCAAAAGCAATCCACATTCCTTGTAGTCGATTTGTAAACAACTGGGAAGCACTAAAACAAGATTTCCAGATAAAATACAGAAGCCAAAATAAATCAGAATTTCCGATAAACAGCGAAAAATTGTTCTGTATTTTCCTTAACTACATCTGGGAACTTCATGCTAAAGAAAGAGAAAGATCGTCTTGTAATGCCACCATCCACAAATAATCATCTTAACGGTTCGGTGCATACTTCTGTGACATACCTGTCAGCCTGGATCATATGCTTTTCTCAACCTCTTGGCGCTTAATCTATAGTTGACACTTTCCCTGTAAATATCCTTAGCACGGTGCATTTTCGCACTTTAATGTGCATCGGAATCCCCCGGAGAGCTTGTTAAAATGCAGATTTGGATGCAGGAAGTCTGGACCAGAGTGAGATTCTGCGCTTCTGACAAGCTCCTAGGTGATGTCACTGTTGCTGGTCCAGGCACAACATTTCCAGCAGCGAGAGCCCTTCGAGTTCAGACACCTGTTCACAGTGGCCCCACAGTGTTCTATCCTGGCATCCCCGTCCTCTCTGTACGTCCTATCGTTGGGTACCTCGAGTTGGTGGGATCAATTAGACCACCAGAAGTAAGAAGTGAAGCCGTGGAGGCTAGCACCCAGCGGGTATCTCAGTGGTCACGCAGACTCTTACACACAGCGCGAAGTGGGGCCTGCCCCATCTACGGCACCACGTACGGTCAGGACAGGGTCCCACACTGTCTCAGACCCGCCCCTCTCTCCGCACCCCGGACTCAGTTTCCCTGCGGGCTCCTCCCTTTCCATCAGCCCCGCGGCAGCGGCCGCGCCCAAAGCCCGGAGTGGACTTCCGGAACGTGTGCGCCCGCGGCGCACTGGGCATGCGCAGACTCGCTCGCGGCCCGGCGGGGGAAGGCTCCCGTAGCGCCCCTTGGCGCCGCCTGCGCCCGGCCGTCGCGTTCGCCGCACCTTGGAGGCTTCAGCCGTTCAGGCCCACGCGGTGCCTGGGCCTCCCGGTGGACGGCGCGCTCG